AAAAGCTTAAATGCTCAATTTCTACCTAACTCATCCTCTTATAAACTAAACCTGGGTGTTTCCATTTGGGTTCAGTCAAATTAATGGTGATGTGTGTTGTTAGGGTGGCATTTGTTATTTCAGAGCCAATGTCTAATGCTAACATGACTGCATATACAGCTCCATTCTTGCTGAATTATACCAGAAGACAAATACAGATATTTCAATGATCTTTACAGTAGAGTTCTAATAATAGTAATTTCCCCTTCACATGCTAGAGAGGGTAACTACTACAAAATGTTGGTATAGTATATTTAATGTAATAATTCAGAACTTCCTTTTAAATGGTTGCTCTAACACTTACTAGGAAATTAATTGTGGAATTATTAGGTCATGGATTCACCATGTAAATTAGTATAAGAAATGATAGTGCCAAATCGATTTTATAAATCTCTTGTTGGTATTAAAACATCCTCCCTTTCTTTTATCAATTAAGATATATACTTGTCTTTATACTCAGAATGCGCACCTGGTACTCAGCACATCATAAGTTCTGAAAAATGACCCAAATTAAGATATATACTTGTCTTTATACTCAGAATGCACACCTGGTACTCAGCACATCATAAGTTCTGAAAAATGACCCAGAACTATAAAGGAAATGTGTAGAGTAAAACAAGAATATAAGGAATGTTGAATTTGACTCTAAATCTCTACAATCTATGAGCTGTGTGACTGAATGTAAAAAAAATCTCTAAACATATTTTCAGCATCTGTAAAATGGAGCCAAGGACAAAGTCAATTGCATATGAGACCCTTCTATAAGGTACTTACAACAGGTCCTGACACATAGTTGATACTTCACTGGATATTAGTGTAGAACCAAATCAAATGTTCTGTAGAAGAAAGAAATGGCCACAGATGGCAAATGTTAAAATTTCCTATTGAATGTACAATATAAAGTATTGGTTATCTTTTCCAACAAGAGTGATGGTGATGACTTTACAGATGATGTTTACAGTGGAAGGACAGATAGATAGACAGACAGACAGACAGACAGACAGATAGATAGATAGATACATACATACATAGATACATAGATAGATACATAGATATATAGATAGATAGTGTGGGGGTGTGAACAATAAGTGGTTGTAAGGAAGTGGAAATATGTAGAGTAATAGTGATACTATAAACCCTGTTTTACTACACATTCCTCAGGATTGTTCTCATTCACAATATTATCCTCATGTTACAGATGCTAGAACTGGGGCTTGGAAGTTTAGGTAACAGGGGGAGAGTTAGGATTTGTAAGTGGTATAACTACATTGCAAATACAGTTTATTTTCACACTCCTATGTTCGAGCACTTTAAGACATTTATTTAACAGCTGCCTGAGATTAGAAGATACTGTGTACTTTGGTTTTCTTAGCACCAGGCCTCTGAAGAGAGAACACATAATAGAACAACCTTCGCACTCAAATAGCTACACTTCAAGGCTGGGACTTTGAACCTAGGTCTCTACACATTTGCTGTGGTGATAGCTTTTCAATCTCACTAATGATGTGTCCATAGGCGCTTATACTCCAGCTGTGGTGGCCCAAACTGACATCCTCAGAGCAGTGGGAAACATTTATCTAGAATCAGAGGAAACCCAGCCAAGGAAAATTTACAGTGAAGATTTTGCAAAAATGAAGCACAAAATTAGGAAGCATATATACTTTCCTCTTACATTTTTGATCACTTTGGATGTAGCTGGTTGTTGCTTTTTTATTATCTTTAAGTAGTTGTTCAAAGGAGTTATCTTTTAATAAATAAGTGTATGCATACAATGTATCTTGACCATTTTCATCCCTTTCAACATTCTCACATACCCCTCCCAGCCTACTCTTTCCCTCACTCTTCTTAATTTCCTAAGATATACATTGGATTCTTGACATCTTTCTCCCCTCTTCTTGTCTTCATTTGTCTCTTGCTATACCCTTGACCCCACCCACCCCTTTAGAGTAACCATTTCCTGGTATTCTATTTTGTTGACCTTCGATTTTGTTTTCTTGTTTATTGGTTTGTTTGTTTATTTGAGATCTCCCTAAAATCTATCATACTTCCATCAATACATTTGTATATACAACATAGTATATAGACCATCCGACATAATATCTTATAAGTTTATAAGCTAAATCTAGCTAGTAGATGGGTGTTACAATTTGAATTTTCTTTATTTTAGTATTTCATTTTATTTATTTTTTGGTTTATGTTTTTAAATTTAATTTTGTTGTCAAGGTGATGTACAGAGGGGTTCAGGTACATACATAAGTTAGTGAGTATATTTCTTGAGAAACTCCTCTGTGGTTGGATCCATGACTACCTGCACCAATGGGTATTCAGTCAGACAAGTGATTAGATAGGGCCCCAAGGGTGAAGCTACAATCAGTAGGAAGGCTTACAGCAGCCACAGTGCTATTTCCACCCCAAAGAAGAGTTTTTGTGAACTAAATGCAGCCTCTATATCTCTAAAGCTACCTACTCTAGACTTCATCATTACATACAATTCCCAGCTTGAAAGATCAAATTCAAATCCTCCTTCCCTTCCCTTTTTCTTTCAACATCTTCTTTACAAATTCAAGTTGATATCTATGAAGTTTAAACTTCCATTCGATCCCAGACCATACATTTCTTCCAGATTTCATTTGGTCTTCTATCTTACTCTAAATACTATAGCTATCTCCTCAGTTACTCACTGGCTAAAATTTCTTTGATCCTTCAATGTGCTGTACATCACTAAGCAATACCAGATACCTAGATCAACCCTCTGTCTTTTTTGCCTTCTAACTCCTCCATCAAATCACAATCGAAAAAGTAATCCAATCTGAAGGAGATCCAACTTCCTAATCCTCATTAAAGAATAGAATTCATAAATGATTCCATTTGCTATGTCTTCCATCTGGTCAACCAGATTTTTTTGTTCCTTCTCAGCAATGTTTACACATAGTATCTCCTGGTACAGAGCAAAAAATGCAAAAGGACACTTCTCTACCACTCTGTGTCTCCCTCTAGCTACCAAAACAGTAGTGCTTCTAGATTCCAAGTTTCTCAAATGGTAAAAGAGCACATTATATAATGTTGCTTTCACATGATCAGCTGCCTTGTTGACTAGGTGAACTGTGGTCTGCATGTTGCATGTCTTTGACCACTGATAAAAGTATCTGGACTCTGTGATAGAAATCACCGGTAGAACATAGGAAAATATTTCATTTCACCCAAGGTACAATTTAATACCTAGCATGAAGTAGGAGCTCAGAAAATGTTTCTAAGAAGATAGAAAAAGGGTCCAAGATGATGAAAACACAAAAAATCAATCTCACTGTTAACAAAAAAAATTGACTTCCACAATTCTGTGTCTAGCCCAAACTGATACAACTTCAAGTAAAATGTAGTAAGGAAAATCTTTGTACAAAGAATGAGGAGATCAAGTTGATTTTCATTAGGTAATAACAAATGATATCAGTTTAATTTTATTTTCATTAAATATTATAAGAAAATCACTAATTCATTAAGAAAAACATGCAGAGATGGCTTAATATCAAGTATATTGAATTAAGTGATTAATCCAGGAAGTTTGTGAACTGCAATATTAAACCTCCTTATGTTCTTTGAAACTTATCTAGAGAAATCACCATCACTTTTCCCCAGTTTCTCCTCACTATCTTATTAATCATATCACCATCACATATTTGCTTATACCCTTTCTGATAGGCATGGATGTATATTCAACTAAAAGACTATACTGAACTCAGATCAAGAGAATGTGGAATTTCCCTAAGCTTGGTCTTGAGTCAATTGTCCATTTTGAAAAGCCCACAAAAGTCTGTATCATTGGAACAAGCTTAGTGTGATAATATGTGTCTAGTAAAAAGCTTAAAATAGGTGGATTGTAGTTCATGTGCATGCCCAACAAAGAAAGTAAGAACTGATCCCAAAATAACCAGTGCAAAAAGAGTAGAAGTTGAGGCTCAGCAGTAGACCACCCGCCTAGCAAGTGTGAGGCCCTGAATTCAAACCCAAGTGCCATCAAATAAGAGATAAGTGTGCTTCTATGACATTTCTATATTGCTGTACTGAGAGTAGTATTCTCAAGCATATTAAAGTGTACACATATACACATACCTACATATTTCAATACTCAAAACAAGAGGATAATTTCAAAATAGATTAGTCCTTTAGCTAACTTCCATTCTTAGTGTTTCACTTTTTATTTTCTTGTAAAGATACTGTAGGGGGGGTTACAGTTACATGAGTAAGGTAATGGGTACATTTCTTGTCAAACATTGTTACCACCTCCTTTGCTTTTCTTCCACTATCCCCTACCTCCCACATTCCTCCTGCCCCTGAAGTTGTAAAGTTCATTTCCAACTGTGTCTTGTGAGTATCATGTTGCAATGGGTCATCCTGTGTCCTTGTTTCAGCATTTTGTTATTCCTCTTCCCCTCCCCAAATGAGATAAATGTATATACAAGATGCAAGGTGTCAAAATCAAATACAGTGACAACAGGGGATATACCATAGGAGGAAGAACATACAAAAGAAACAAGAAAAATCACGATACATTAAAAACAACAATGACAAATCAAAACCTCTTGTGTCCATATCTTGGAGTTCATTTTGCTTTGCGCCATCTTATATGGTCATATGTACATAGCTTTTGAGCTTTTCTGCTCATCTGATAAGCTTATCCTAGAAGTATACTAATTATTGCAAATAAGGGAAACCATGGGACCTATATTTCTTTGGGCCTGGCTTAATTCACTTAATATGATTTTTTCCAAGTCTTTCCATTTCCTAACAAATGAAGTGGTGTCATTCTTTCTGATGGAGGCACAGAATTCCAGTGTGTGTGTGTGTGTGTGTGTGTGTGTGTGTGTCTGTGTGTCTGTGTGTCTGTGTGTCTGTGTGTGTACATATGTCACATTTCTCTATCCATTCATCTATGGAAGGGTATCTGGATTGTTTCTATATCTTAGAAAAATATGGAATGCTTCACAAATTTGTGTTTCATCCTTGTGTAGGGGCCATGCTAGTCTTCTCTGTATCATTCCAATTTTAGTATATTGTATTGCCAAAGTGAGCACAGCTTTTCACTTTTCTTTCCTCTTCTTGCCCCATAGATTTACACGTGTTTGATTGGAAACCTAAACACTTTTTATATAGAGATGTAATCTTCTCATATCTATATCTAATCTATATCTATATATCTATACCTACATATCTATATCTAAATCTATATATCTATATCTATATATCTTTTCTGAACCTCATTTTCCTCACCTGTAAGATGGAAGACATGATAAACATCGAATGATATCTTATACAAACAATATTCAGCAGAGGTTGGTCATTGCCAACATATACTCATGTATAGAAAAAAATCAGTATTAGAAGATTTTTGTAGGTAGAAAACACATTTTGTAATTCACATCATGTGTTACTAAAGACTTACTACATTCTTTTCCTAACAAGGATAGAGCCAAGGAGAATGAAGTCTTTCTTGGTGTTTCTCTGTCCTTCACTACTCCTCTCTCCATATCAATATGGAATAAAAAAAAACACAAACCTTCCAAGTGTAAGAGGAAAAATAATTTATTAATAAGAAAATCTCTTGAAAGTAATATTAGAATATGCTGGATGAAGTTATTCTCATAAAATACACATTAAATATCATTCCAATTTTAGAGATAAGTAAACTTAGGCCCAGAGGGGTAATATAGCTGATCATATTAACTTTTGCCTTATCTTTGGACTTTCTAATTGTTTCTATAGCTTTAGTTTGATTTAAAGTTCAGAAAATGTTCCTTTGCATACTTACTTTTCAATTTCCAAGAGAAGGTGTTTTGAGAACAAATTTGGAGGATTCAAATTATTGAAGGAAGACATATGAGCTTTTAAGTGACTCATGTGTTAATCTGTTTTGCTTTTTATTTCTCAAGGTACTTACATTAACTATGAAATATCCAATTATTTTGCAAAAGTAAAAATGCCCTTGGCAGTACTTACTAATGATTTGACACTGGAATAAGCATTAGATGATGAACATTAGAAATGAATCATCTGTGGGCTCTTTGTCTTCCGAATTTATTTACTCTTCCTCATAATCCTAAGCACTTCCTGAATGTGGGCCTTGTCATGTGCACCTTTTTACAACCATCACTTCCCAGCTAAGGCATCTCTGAGGTCCAGAATCCCACATCTGCATCGTTAGTGTTACCAATTCTCTTTAGAAGTCATCCCCTAGTAAATCTTTGGAAAGGATTTTGAATGGGGCAAAATAGCTTTTTTGATTGCTTTCACAGCTGGTTCTGATTAATTATAAGGTAGAATAATTAGTGTAATTAGGTGTTTTTATCTCTTTAGAATAAAGGTTTAATAGGAAGAAAAAGAAAGAAGAGAGAAATCATGGTGTTGATGACACTGATAAAGTTGGTGAATACTGGACTGGATGTGATTTCATTTCTGTCGCTTAACTTTATCTTGTGAACAGAATACAAATGTTTAATTGAGCTAATCTGAACACATCTGAGAAACAGTCTGAATGAATTTATAGAAATTTCATTCATTCAAGAAATATTTATTAAATATCTAAATGTGTCTATTGTCTATTGTACTGGAGGGCACACTGGCACTCAGAGCATGTCAACAAAGAATGAGAGATATAAGATTTAAATTCATATATTATGCCAGACATTTCTGAAATGAGGAAATTAAGGCAAGGAGACAATAACATGCCTAAAATTGGTCTTCTGGAGAGTATAAAAAAGTTGAAATTTAAAATAAATGTACCAGGGCTGGGAAGGTGGCTCAGTAGTACAGTGCTTTCCTTTCATGCATGAGGCCCAAGGTTCGATTCCTCAGGGCCACATAAACAGAAAAAGCCAGAAGTGGTGTGGTGGCTTAAGTGGTAGAGCGCTAGCCTTGAACTAAAGATCTGAGGGACAGCGACCAGGCCCAGAGCTCAAGCCCCACAACTGGCAATACATACATACATATATACTTAAAATATATCATCCCCAATTTTCCCTCTAAAGGCCTTCTTGTCATAAGACAAGAGTGTAATGGAAAAGTGTGGTGAGTTTGTAGGAAGAATTGACAGGTGCTTCCCTACAGGTTAGAGCAGGTTGCTGATGGTTGAGTGGGTTTTTCTTGGAAGAGGTGACATGCATTTGAGGAGGTGAAAGGCCACAAAGGGTTAGAATAGCAGTGTGAGCAAAAGCAATGCACAATTAATGTGCCTGGATTTTCAAAGTCAGGGGAGTGGAAAGGTGGCTCACAGGTTGAGTGGGGCACAAAGGAAGTGCTGATAGCCCTGGAAAGAGAGCTTGGAACTCTATTGTAGTGGGCCAAGGTCTTTAGGTTTCTGTTTATCCACAGGGCTGAATGATGGAATACCAAAGGACAAATATAAGTCACAGGGACCTGAATCAAGCTGTGACAATGAGTATAACATGGGGTAGAAGTGACAAACTTTATGGTGATCTCAGGATGAGGAAGGGGTCAAAGACAGGCTGAAGTTGTGACAGTTCTGGTTTTCACAAAATGTTGATTCCAGGTCTGTTCAGTTCATCCACAACCTGCTGGCTCACACAAAGGATGAGGAAGGCTAGTCTGCTTTTGAGCAGACACTTTATTTCTGCAAGACTCAAGGGAAATGTTTTGATGCTGCACTTCCTCTGGTAGTCTGCAGCTATGACTGTAGAGGTAACACTAAACTTGATATAAATCCTTGAAGTTTAATGAAGTGCCTCTCTGTTTATCTTCCCAGATTCCTTGACCTCAAAAGGAGTTCCTTTTTTTCCTTAGCCTCAGTGATTCTTTCAGCAGATATTTAAAAGTGCAAATCAATAAGTCCTGCAGTCTTTCACCTGTTGTCTACCATCTCTAGAATTCTGAGGGAATAAGTGATACCAATTTACATACTTTGGTGAACTCTACCTGTTATCTAAATAATCCTTTCTTTGCTACACTCTCCAAGAGAGGTTGTTATATTTTTCAGTTGCTAAAACTCATGAAGCAAAATCTCAGCTTGAGAAGAATGGGAGGAAATAAGCATGCCATGATGGAGTAGAAGTTTCTGCAACATTTTCCCATGTCCCTTGTTGCCATGGAGACAGTTGCCTTTGTCTCTACTGCTGGTATATGCTTAGAATAACCCCCTTTGCACTACTGATCACAAATTAAGTCTTCTATGGAACTAGGAAGCATCAGAGGGAGACTGTCTTAAGCATTAGATATATACAAAAAAGTGAGCTAATTCTGTGGTCTTCAGAGGATGCTAAATGGAGTTAAGAAGCAAACATATGGTTACCATGTTTAAGGAGAGAGATCTGGACTACATTACTGTGGTTATTATTATGATTTCTTTTGAGAAAATGGCAGAAAGAGGTTTAAGGGAGGCTGCCTGAAGGTGGTGACATGCGAGGTGTAGTTTTAGGATGACCAGTTGATCTAGTAACTGTGAACAGGGTAGAGAAGAAAGGTTTCCCAGGTACAGGAGACAGCTTGTGCAATATGGTGTGGTAAGCTCATGGGACTCCTTAACCTACCATTGACTTGAATTTGCAAGGTCTTCATTCCCAGTCTACCTTCCTCACCATTGCTTTGCTCTCAACTCCTCATGCTAAGCGTCCTTCAAGGTTCAGTGACTGAATTGCTATTTGCTTTTCACTATTTGCTGAGAACTTCTTTATAATGGCATGGCAGGCAAGATCTTCCCTGCATGGATACCCATGGTGAGTCTGCTTCTGCATCTTGCCTCATGTCTTAAAAGGACAATTATTTTGTCCTGAATTTGCCTTTACATGGAGTCCAGCATCAGCAATACCATCCTCCCTTGTTTGCTTTTACTCTCTGAGGTCAATTCTATTTCAGACTCTGCTGGAGAGCTCCTTTCCATGCCAGCAGCTTAAATTTGTGTTTCCCAAACTTCTGCCCTGTATTCCCTTGTCATTTTTACTCTTCAGACCTTACCATTCGCAGTGCCACCCAAAGCACACATCTGAATCTGCATCTCAGCCTTTGCGTTGAGTGTCAGCTTTCGTCTGCCATCTCACCCTGACCCTTAGCCTCTGCCTGCTCAACACGAAGTTGTTCTTGCTCTTTCAGGCAAAGCCTTTTAATTTACAAACTTGCTGCCTCCACTGCTGATAAAAAAGATTCATATCTGTTCAAATGTAATTCTGGCCCCATATTTGAGGGAGATGAAATAGTAAGAACAGACCAGTCTCTGAACATGCACAGAACCAAGGCAATCATCACAGCAGACTTCCATGTTACTTTTCGCTCTCATCCAACATGTATCAAGCTCTGACCTGGTACAACCAGTGACAGTACAGGAACTAGGCTTCATCCCTAACCCACCATGGGCCTTAAGGTGTGTCATGTTGTGTATACATTTCTGACGTTAGTGTAATCTTTCTTTTTATGTGGTAGCTCAACTGTGTCATGGGATTGTTTCATGAATTTTTTTTATTGTGAAAATACTGTACAGAAGGATTACAATTACATGAGCAAGGTAATGAGTACATTTCTTATCCAACATTGTTGCCTCTTCTTTTTTTCCCCTACCATCCCTTCCCTCCAACCTCCATACTATACTCCCCAACACCCCCACCCCCCTTTAATTGTAATGTTCGTTTTTCAACATAGTATCTTTGAGTCAACCTGTATCCCTATTTAAACATTTTGTTTTTTCCCTTCCCCTCCCCAAATTATACCAACATCAAATACAGTACTTTGGAAAGTAGTATGGAGGTTCCTCAAAAGACTCCACATAGACCTCCCCTATACCTAGCAATCCCACTTTTGGGCATTTACCTGAATGATCACAAACAAGACCATACTAAAGCTACCAGCACAACTATGTTTATTGAAGCATTATTTACCATAGCTAAGATACGGAACCAACCCAGATGCCCCTCAGTAGATGAATGGATCAAGAAAATGTGGTATATATTCTATGCCTCCATCAGAAAGAATGACATCATCCCATGTGTTAAGAAATGGAAAGACTTGGAAAATATTATATTAAGTGAAGTAAGCCAGGCCCAAAGAAACATAGGTCCCATAGCTTCCCTTATTTG